TTATAAGTTCATCCAAAACTAGTCGTTATCTTCCCCATGGGAATAAAGCTTGTACTAAAAGTGAAATTGACAATTATCTGTTCAGAACACAACGTAATATAATACATCATTTGATAGATGAAAACCTTGGCTTTCTATTGGTCATAGATCATTAGAATTAAACGAGAGAACTACTAACAAATCCTGAAAGAGAGGATACAACAGATGGGTGGTAAAAGAGAGGTGTGATTTTCTATTTGATAGCTCTGTAACCAAACAAAATTGAAGGCTATAAGAATTCTGGTTTGTCTGAGCAATGACGATTTTTATAGTGAGTAATTTACGTTTAATTTTGTAGTTACTGGAGGGGTGGTGGATAAAATAGAGAAAAGGACAAGCCTAAAGAAAATGTTTCACATGTGTCATACTAGGGTAAATTCAGGATTTTTAAAAATATTGCCTTATAAAATTAAGAACTTAAAACTTGTATACTATGAAAATATGGATTATTAGCTATGATTTTATGCTATACTAATTGGTATAACTTAAACAAAAAAATAGTTAATAAAATTTTGAGTGCAAGACACTAAAACCTTTTGTCATGCGCAGTAAAGGATACCCATAGCGATAAGGTTAATGTCAGTGCAGGTCTCCAAAGAGAAATGAACACCAACCAAAAATATCCAGGTCAAGGTAAAAAGCCTGATAGAGACCATGTACACAAAAAAGGAGGAAGGAGTAGAGTAAATACAAATGAAACATGATCCAACTAGTCCTAACATCAGGGGAATGAAGTAAGAAGGGACAGAGCAGAATTGGAAGAGACTAGTCTAGCAAAGAGAAGGTAACAAACTTCTACAGAAAAGCCCTCTGAAGCATGAAGAAATGTCTCAGACAAAAAGTAGGGGTAAAATAAGGAATACAAAAAGATGGTGAGAAAAAAATTAAAATGCAAAAATGGTGAACCAAAGAGTGAAACAGAAGGCAAAGGACTTCATCTCCAAGCAGGTCAACCTAGGACAAGGAATCGAGAAAAGGAAGGGAAGAATGTCAACAAGTCCGGGGGGAAAAAAAAAGTCATAAATGCAAAGGGGGACAAGGCATTTGGGTGTGAGAGGAAAACTATTAGAGAAAGAAACCGTATAAATCTGAATAATAAGCAAGGAGGAAAGACAAGGTAAACTCAAAGAATTGGAATCATGAAGTGAAAAAAAAAGAAGAGAGGAACATTAAAAGACAAGCACAAAACAAGGAACAAACATAACTGAAAATGAAATCTAGAAAGAGACTGTAAGACAAAGGTAAGGCACTACCCAAAGCAAATTGTGTTAACCCTATTGCTGCAAGTGGTAGGGGTCAGAGGGCACGTCATCACATTTGTAGACTTAGTAATTAAATAAAATTTTAGTGTATCTTGTGAATGTTTGGCAATAAATTTGGCATCAAATACAATACAATGTCTATGATTTCTTGTGAATTATAAACTCAAATTACCAATATTGACCAGCTGGAACATAAAATAAGATCCTCCTACCTTTTGTATTTGCCGAGATATCATTATATTTATCAAATTCACCACAGTAGCTCTGCCCACCTCTTCCATTTTTGGAAATACTTGTTTACATAAATCTGCTTCTCTCAATTACAAGTTCATAACTAATTAAAAGCAAATTGCTCTGTTTAATCCTCCCAGTCTTTAGTGTTTAGGAGGGAAATTTATCTTTTTTCATTGGAAATTTGACAACTGGTGGCAAATGGAAATGGTGATCTGAAATGAGATTCTTTTTATCCAAAAACAATTTAGTTAGGAAGCCTGATAAATCACAGTGAAAATTTGTGAGTTCAGTGTAGTAATTTATTTATTTATTTTTTTTTTTTTTCAAAATGCATCTATAAAATCTACAAAAGTTACTATCTTTTACACCCTCCATGTGTGATTGGACAAGGCTAAGCAAATTATGACAGGTGACTGCAAACTACAAAGAAACTTCATAGCACTGTAAGCAGAGATCATTGTTTTCTATATTTTTTTATTCAATGTTTCAAAAAAAAAGAAATTTAATAATCTATTTGTAAATAATAACAATATAACCAAAATGTGATTGTATTTCACAAAATATTGATGTGGTAGTACAAAGCTGGGGTCAGTTTTATGCTATTCAATGTGGTAAAGTGAGCTGCATGTGCACAGCATGATTTACAATTCTAGTGGCACTATTGTTATTCAGACACCGTTTAAAGGTCAATAAGATTTGAGCTATTTAGAATAAACATTTGTTGTTTCCCGTTACAATTTGCGGTCTTCCTAGAACAAAAAAAGCATTATTTAGATCTATTTCCTACTTTTTTTTATGGTAGTTACAAGTGTCAAGTTCAAAAC